TCAGGATATCACTACACTAGATCTCAGGATGTAATCACACAACCCATTACCCAGGTTGTTATAACACAAAAGACTAATGGGCACACAGCCAGCACCTCAACTACTCAGGATGTTATGAAACAGCCAATCAATCTGCAAACAATGGCTCCCACACAGCCAACCAATCCACCTACAGCAACTAAGCCAGCACTCCACACACACCCACCAGTATTTATAGAGAGACAGCAGCTCCGATCACACTTTGCTCGCACAGAAGCCGAAGCCAAAGACCCCAGCCTGAAGATGACGAGTGGGACCTCGTCGAAACGTCACCAAGATACTCTCAATCTTACATGGGAAAAGACCCGAATACGCCAAGACCTGCATACCTGTACCCGTGAAAATCTACAAAAACATATATAACCAAAGACCTACACACACACACACACACACACACACACACACACACACACACATATGTTTTTTCAATAACCCTAGTTTGCAGGACTATGTGCTTGTCTGTTTTATTAAAACATTGGAAGAACAAAAACAGAAGGATTAGAATCTTCAATAGACTACCCCAGTGTTTCTCGACCTTAGCAACTTTAAGATGTTGGCTGGGGAATTCTGGGAGTTGAAGTCCAGACAGCTTGAATTTGCTAAGATTGGGAAACACAGGTCTATCTCATCCTTAGCCATAGCTAAGATCATGAACTCTTTCAGACAAAGTTGAAGCTTCTAAAATTTTGTATTATAACTCCAAACATCGTCCCCATCTCTGAAATATGTGGAGTCTTCAGAAGTTAGGAGAGCACTTCTCCTTTACCCCAAGGTCTGGATCATGATAATATATACTTCAGCCTTTACAATTCACAAACTAGCATATCTGTCTCCAACCACAAATTTACAACCTGTCATGGACAATCCCCAGATTTGTAATCCTAGCACATAAATTGCAAAAGGCTAACAGCAGTTTTCCAATGTTATTGGACTGATGCCCAGCAAGTTTAAAGATGAGAATGCCTTCCAAGTTTAAGCTATGGGGAACTGAAAGCTATTTTTCATATTTGAATCACCTTTCCAGCAGATGTCTTTTTAATTTATTAGAAGGCATGAATCCTCTATATTCCTGGAAATGTATTCAGTTCTTGTACTTATTCAAGATCCTTTCATTGAGTTTTCTAAGGCTGATGCTTTCTATATATTAAAGGAGAGCTATTTTTTTTTTAAAAAGCCTTGAAGGATCTGAAAAAGTGCATACTAGCATTTATTGAATGCCTGTATTAAACTATTATGATAGGCACATTCAAAAGCTGTTGGATCCTTCATCTTAATTCTTTGAATCATATCATAAATGCATGCTGATATGGGCTGGCAAGTACTTAATAGTAGATTAGTGGTTGTAAGCTGGTTGTATTTTAAATAAGAATGAAACAATGGTTCTGCAAAAAAAGAGGAACAACCCCCCACACCATTTCAAATTGAATTCAAATGTAATAAATTATGAAACTGGTATAGCATATTTTAAGAAGCTGATCCATCAAACTGAATGTCAGAATTAAGAGACTTTTAGGCCAAAACAGAAGTGAAAGGAAAGTTTACTCCAAATTGTGAGGCTTTAAATAAAAATTAAAAAATTAAGAGGCATGGAGATAGAACAAAAGGGTCAATGCAATTAAAGATTTGCGGAGAGAAGTGATAAAATTCCAATATAGATTTCCATCAATAGTGAGAATTAAGCCACACAAGCAGTTCACAAGCTTGCACTATCATTGCTAAATGGCCAATATGGTTTCAAAAAGCTTTGGAGGAAGAATGAATAAAATCGCCTTTCTGACGAATACAGAAAGATATCGCCAAGTAACAAAACATTGTGGTTTCTGCCTAACAGCTTTTCATCAGACTCCCCAGTGATTTGCTATATGTTAGTTGTAAATCCTTCTAAATGGCTTATATCAAAAAGCACCTTTTCCATGTAGTCTTTGATCAATATTTGTTTTTAAAAACTTGAAAGGGAAGTGCAAAAACAATCCTTTTAGACAAATGATTTACCATAAAAGTCCTCTTAAATTTTTTTTACCCTAGGTTAAGGCAGCAAACACGGCTTTTTAATTGTCAACACTGCTTTTCACTTTCTTTGCAAACCACGGAATGAGAAGAGATGCTTAAAATGCAAAATGTGCCAGTTTCAGTCCCTGGGACTCTCTGTTAAAATGGACTGGATACATGTGATCAGAAAGGCTGCTCCCTCTGTTAGACATAAGAAAAATGCTCTCAGTCAAAACAAATTGAGTAAGATTAACCCACCAAACATCCAGACTTCATAAATGGTATCTGTTTCCATACTTCAGTAAACTCAAGATATTAGGCTAGGGCAGTGGTTCTCAACCTGTGGTCTGTGCGCACAATGTCATCACAGGGGTTGTGTGAAGGCTTGAAGAAATGTTATGATTTAAATCTTGAGTTAAGTCTTGGGAGTTTGTGACCACAATGGGTATTTAAATGGAGTCCGTGGTAAAGAAAAGGTTGAGAACCACTGGGCTAGGGTAAAACAGATATAGGTTCCAATCCATGTTTAGCCTTGAAATTGACAGATGTGATCTTGGAACAGTTCCCTTATTCAGTGGTGGGATTCAAATATGGGAACAAACGGTTCTCTGTGTGGTTGCCACTTCCGGAAGTCCATTCTGGGCCTAGGCAACAAAAAATTAGTTACCGGTTCTGCCAAAGTGATGTGAACCGGCTGAATCCCACCACTGCCCTTATTATATTTAAATACAGAACTACACAATCTTTTGATAGTCAGGTGTTGCCCTTGGCATTTTGAAGAGAACTGAATGTTGTAGAGATGAGGCAGTGAGGGCAGGAACAGACCAAACACATAGGCAGGGGAATCAGTTTTCTGATTCTCTCCCATCCTTATGATTTTGAAGGAAGATCTTTTTTTTAAAAAAAACACCTTTGTATCTGAGGGTTGATGCTACAAGTTTGCTTATTTCCTGCCTCAAAAGGGCAGAAAGTCATACCACACGATTTTAGTCAGAAGAGGCACAAAAGGCACTTGGAAATTATAAGTGGCCTTGCCCAGAATTGAAAAAGAAACCATTCAAACTCTCCTTGAATGATAATGGTTTGAAATCAGAGTGTGATGCATCTACTGTGTCATCCTGAGGGTTTGCATTGTACTGATCCCTCCAGTGAGTGATGAGTAACGGAGTCAAGCAGGATATAATGGCCCTGGTAGGCAGTTAGCAAGCAATCAATATAAACAGGGATTTCCCATCATTCAGTGGTTTTACCTACATTATAAAGAATTAGCAAAGAAAAACAGAGCAAGTGCATCTAGTTAAGCCTTCCCAAAGCCAAAACCAAACCTCACAAAGAAAGAAAACACTCCATAGAATCAAGATCACGTGAAGTGTTAATACCACTTTACAATGCCTTGGTAAGGCCACACTTGGAATACTGCATCCAGTTTTGATCACTGCGATGTAAAAAAGATGTTGAGACTCAAGAAAGAGTGCAGAGAAGAGCAACAAAGATGATCAGGGGACTGGAGGCTAAAACATATAAGGAACAGTTGCTGGAATTGGGTATGTCTAGTTTAATGAAGAGAAGGATGAGGGGGGACATGATAGCAGTGTTCTAATATCTCAGGGGCTGCCACAAAGAAAAGGGAGTCAGGCTATTCTCCAAAGCGCCTGAAGGCAGGACAAGAAGTAATGGATGGAAACTAATTAAGGAGAGAAGCAACCTAGAACTAAGGAGAAACTTCCTGACAGTTAGAACTTAACCAGTGGAACAACCTGCCTCCAGAAGCGATGAATGCTCCAACACTAGAAATTTTTAAGAAGAGACTGGACAGCCATTTGTCTGAAATGGTGTAGGGTTTCCTGCCTGAGCAGGGGGTTGGACCAGATGACCTCCAAAGTCCCTTCCTACTTTATTATTATTATTATTATTATTATTATTATTATTATTATTATTATTATTATTATTATTATTATTATTATTATTATTATTATTATTATTATTATTATTATTATTATTATATTATTTTAAT